GAAATCATCGATTGGGTGTCTCCATTAGGACCTGCGTCTTCATCGTGCTTCAACGACCTTTCGTTTTACCTGAAGCGTGAATGCGGGCGTTTCCCGTCGTGTGCATCGAAGAAGCTGTCATCCATTACGCAATCTATGCACGAGGCTACGTTCAGACGTGCATCAGTCTCATTAAGGGCAGTCGTAAAGTTCCTTCCTTTCATTCAATTACGCCTCGGGCATTAATTTTAAAGAGAATAATGCACAATAACGGTTTATAGTAAAAAAAAACCATTGATCCTTCACCTTACAACTTCTTGCCTCCAAATTCCACGTTCACGACCAAATATTTATTAAATAAATACTTTTCTACCTTTCTTTCGCTGTGATTCTCACTGAGTTTCATCCATAAATTCCCAGTATTTTCCGAAATTTGCAGGTCCTTCGGCGCAATCCTGCTAAACATCTACTAATATAAGCAAGAGCAACTGTGACAGAGTTTTAGGCTGAATTCGGCATTCCATTCCTCTCTCATTCTGGTCCGTGAAACACCCCACCACCGTGCGTGCCACCCGAGAGACTCCCGAGAGGAGTCTTCCAATTCAGCCGGAGATCCGCCCCGCACGCGGCCCACCGGTCGATATGCCCCCGTGGAAGCTGGACGGATGAAATCGCGTTCGTCACTCGGGGCTCGGCTTTCCATGCGCTGAGAGTCTCTCGCTCCGGATAGGGAAGACCCAAGAATGCTTCTCCGCCTGCTTCGATCTAAAGACCCTATTAAGTGTACGTTTGGATGAGTGATACTGAAAATGAGCGAATGAATCACCAACTTTGGGGTGGAATTTATTTTTTTGTGGCAGTTAAAGGGTAAATGGCCCAGGAAAGGGTTCGGAGACGAGCTATTAAAAGGCTATTCCAGGTTAGGGAACATTTTCCTAACTGCGTAAAGGCCCACTGGAAATGTGACAGCTGAGAGAGGGTTAACCCGGAGAGATCTCATCCCAGCATTTCACATCAAGGACACGGATAATATGGAGCGTGATATTATGGTAGGTTTTCCAAACTCGACGGGTTCCGGAAGGACGGGTTGGAACCAGATCGAGTTGCGCAAGCCTCTAGAGAGATTCGCGGCATGCCCCGATTCCGGTGACGAACGCACGGAACGAGTTCGGTGAGGATCAGGTATTCTATTCAAATCTTAAACATAGTCAAAGCAAATTGCTCAACCTCTGCCATGAATTTGCATAGGGGAAATGCCAGCTAAGCACCTTGTTAAACGGAAAATAGCACTTAATAATGGAATACGGCCCCTGCCTTTCCCGATCTCGAAGGCCAACATCAGTAGAAGTGACTTTTTCCTTCCCGGTCCAAACCCTTGAACCTCGAATCCCCTCCGCCCGACGAGTCCTCTCAATTCTCCGTTCTTCGGAAGAGGAAAAGCGGTCGGATCACCTTGTTTTCTTGCGCAACGACGCATCGGCCAGATTAGAGTGAAGGGCCTTGAAATCGTTCTCGATTCTCCTTTTTCATATGGTTCAACCCCTTGTTCACGGACCCGTTCTCCAAAATTTGGTCTATCACTCTGCGATGACCAAGGAACGTGGAGATGACTAGATCAGATTAATGCAGTATGACCCTGTGCAAGTCATGCGTTGGGATCCAAGGGTAAAAAGAAGAAATAGATCATTCTAATGAAAAATAGAGTCGATTGAGTGATATGGGCGATGTCCGCGATCCACGGTCGACCACATTGGTCCGGCATTTTCGGGGGAAATCCAGACGGTCACGTCGGCCAGGTCATACTGAGCTGGCCGACGTGACCGTTATTAATTTCTCCCGTCTCGATCACGCGCGCCACGATCGTGGAATGAATCCCTCAAGTACTGTGAAAACCATTTTTCGGAGACTTTTCTCCGTTCTTCAGCTCCTCCTCTCCCCAGACATATCGCTCAAATAAAAGCTGGCCGCTCCTGTCATGTTGCTTAGTGACGTCTTCGACTTCGACCTCGAAGTCCTCGACTTCGACCTCGAAGTCCTCGAACCGTGCCATGCACATCCACGCCCGAACGACGCCCGCTCGCGGCGATGGTTCCTCCTCGTTCGGCATGACTGCGAAGCGGTCTGGTTCATTCAGGCGTGAGTCCGTCGGAGACGAACAGCAGATGTGGGAGGTCTACGAACCCCATTTCATGAGGATAAGTGTGCAAATCTGGCATCCTGGTTCTCGACTGCAGGCAAATAAAGGTTGCACAATTCGCCTTAGAACTCGACACGCCCCATGGGAGTGAATTATTCGTTCTGCCTAATCATTCGGTCGTGTCGAAGGTTTGAAAACGATAGCTGCCCCGAAATCGTTCTGCAGAGGAACGTGTTCATCGCTGGAAGTCAAGTGAGGAACTTCTCGCTCTCTTCGTTTTCACCTACGTGACTTCCATGCAGCTTGGGTTCTGGCCATGGAAACCGGGTTTCGTAATCCTAACCGAAAGGACAAACTAAGGCAATCGAAGCACCGGAGCTCCGCAACCCCTAATGCAGTTTTGTATACAGCCCTCAGCAGAGAAAGACGCGAGACACGACCACCCCCTTACGAGAATGCCTAATAGGATTCATATATATTCATTTAGAAATATATAGGAATCCTATAGACCCCATAGGGTTTAGTTTGGTTCTAAAGGGCGACCTATAGGGAACCCTACAGGTTCTATAGGGAACCCTATAGGTTCAATTGGGAATTCTATAGGTTCTATAGGGAACCATGTAGGTCCCAAACTGAACCCTATGGGGCCTATAGGAACCTATTGGATTCCTATATATTCCTTAAAGAATATACATGGTATCCGTAAATAATTATTCCGATTTTGATGTTTTTTTACTCCGACTTTGTTTAAGTAGCTGCTTTGAAATTATATGTAAGATGAACTCTGAATTTGATGCTAGATTGCAAGTTGTGCATTCTGCCCGCTGGGCAGAGCTATATTCGTCGGTACCGCAAAATGGTGTCCCGGTCGGAGAAAGCGTTCTGTGTCTTGGCGTTTCATGAGACAAAATCCGTTGTTACAGTGCAGAGACAGTTTCGACGGAATTATGGGAAGGCTCCTCCATGCCAACCATAAATTCGTGCTTGGTACGAGCGTTTTTTTTAGTGATGGCTGTGTGTGTAATCTTGGGGGCCCTATGAGACCAATCTCTTCACCCAGCATAAGGGAAAAAAATTCGTGAAAACCTACTGATGGATCACAGCTTCAAAATCCCTTGCATTTTTTTACGCTCCCTGTATGCACAGTTCAGGATAGCTTAACCCTGTCTCAGTTAAGAAAAACCTTTTATTTCTCTCGCCTCGCCTTGGGGGTTGGGGAAGGAGGGGGAAAAAAGTTTTTCTTAACTGAAACAGGGTTAATTCGCTGTTTCTTTATTAAAAACACATGTGCAATGCAGCAAGGGAAACAAGAGAGTCACAATTCGAAAACACAATTTAACATTTTACCTCCTTGGTGTAGGAAAAATTGGCATTACTTTTTCTGACCTTCAAGGACACCCTGGACCGGAATTACAGTTCCTTCTGGTTTCGGAGAGAATCTTCATTCAATATCACTTTTAATAATTGGGTTCAATAGTGACTTTCCAATACTGTTGATCGTTTTCATTTTGACGATCTAGAATGTGTGAGAACTTGTGACTTCGAGAGAAATCATAAAAACATGCAGATAGGAATGGTATTTGTCTCTGATACAAGGAAACAGGAAACTATACTGAATAAAGAGGATGACGTGTCCACTTGGACCTTGGAGTCTGTCCCTCATGGACAATTATGATTACAGTAGCAGCTGCGGAGTCAGTATAGCTGCTGTCAAATAGAGGCGTCATGAAATATTTCCAAGGAATGAAAACGACCGGAGACGGAATAAACCAGTGTACTAAAATCAGACGACGTTGTCAACCAGATGAGATCATGACAAAAGTTTGATGAGGCGGATGTGAAATGTGCGAGTAGCTTCATGAATGTTTCCGGATTCCACATGATAGAACCTCACCAAGAGATGAGATCATAACAAGATCTCACCTTACAGATAAGGGCCCATGTTCGATGACTCAATAATTTTTTTCAATTCCTCCGAGATATAAATGCATTACCCCACATCAGGGATGTCCAAAATACGGTCCGTGGGTCACACCTGTCGGGTTAAATGTTTTGCATTCGCCAAAAAAATGCATGCGTTATTGTATCTTACGTGTCCTTTTCTTAAAGCACGTTTCTCAATAATAATTTACACCTTTCAGCATCATTTCCAAGCCATAAATCACCAAATAAATAAGTGCCACCATATCTCTTTGCAACGGATGGCATGGGGGAGAAAGAGAAGGAAGAACGCGATGACATGGTAAATGAGCTGGCAAAAGAATTGGTAGCACAGTGGTAGTACAGTGTTATTCACTTGAGTTAGACAAGTTTTCACTTGACTAAGACACCGATGCGCGGGGTATCCAGAGAGGAGGCGAGGGCGCTGATGCTCCTGGTGACTAGCGACATCTCTCCTTTGAATATTTAGGCGTCTTACGTATGAATCCGACCATGGACTCGAAACGAAGGACCAAGCATAATCTAGGATTTGCAATGCGGTCAAGTACATGGCGTTTCAAAATGAAGGCCCGAATATTGACACAGCGCTTAGTTTCCAGTTCTTTAGGAATACCTAAACTCCTGTGGAGATGAAGTGGTCTTCAACTTAAGTATCCTCATATCTTGTCGGAATGACGTTCCAGCATTCAGGTCATCCCATTATACGTGGGGAGGTCGGAAAGTTCGCAGATTTTCACATTTTTCGGCGCCATTGAGTGATGAGTGATTGTGGCCCATTCAATTGATATCTCTTGAGCCCTTTCGACATTTTTTTTAGAATTTTTAATTCCGTACAGAATGATGGAGACCCGTCAGAAGCGAGACGGTGCTGTGAATGTTCGTGAGACTGAAATTTTCGGCGGAGCAAAAACGAGTGATCCTCTTCTACTATTTTCGGAGCGGTTTAAAACCGCAACTGGCGTTCGAAGAGATTATCAACAGTGATTATCTTCCTGAAGTTTGGCGAATTTCCGTCTTCAAAATCCTCCAGGAACTTCTTGCAGAAGTTCACCCTGGCCTCCTTCTCCTCCGGTTTCAGAAGACGTGGAACCCAACGAGCAGATTTCTTTGAGTAGTCAAGTTGGTCATGAAGAATGGACGAAATCGACGTTTTTGAGACTTGAAAGACGTCGGCAAGTCGTTTTGTGGTCGCAGAGGGTTCTTCTTCCAGGAATTTTGCCACGGCAGCAACCATTCCGTCGTCTGTCGAAGTTCTTGGACGCCCACTTCGTGGATCATCGGTGACTTCNAGTCGTTTTGTGGTCGCAGAGGGTTCTTCTTCCAGGAATTTTGCCACGGCAGCAACCATTCCGTCGTCTGTCGAAGTTCTTGGACGCCCACTTCGTGGATCATCGGTGACTTCGAAATGACCAGCTTCGAATCGTTGAAACCACTTGAAGACCATGGTCCTGCCTGGAGCATCATCCCCGATGTTCTTCTTCATCTCTTCGAACGCCTGTTGCGGTTTCAAACCGCTCCGAAAATGGTAGAGGAGGATCACTCGTTTTTGTTCCGCCGAAAATTTCACAGTCTCGCGAACATTCACAGCACCGTCTCGCTTCTGACGGGTCTCCATCTTTCTGTACGGTATTAAAAATTCTAAAAAAATGTTGAAAGGGCTCAAGAGATATCAATTGAATGGGCCACAATCACTCATCACTCAATGGCGCCGAAAAATGTGAAAATTCGCGAACTTTCCGACCTCCCCACATATTATGATACCTTCATCACTTCTATGATAGAAACAGTTTCAGTTGCAGAGGAAAGCCCATTAATAGTAAAATTGCAACCATGCATTATAACAGAGGATGGATTGCTGGTAACAAATGCTTGTCAATTGGAAAAACATACATCTTAATTTGTAAATTGCTGTGGCTATGGGGAAAATATATTGGGAAATGAACTTACCTCTCTGGTTTAACTTTTGTGACTCCTCGGTTGCTGTGCACAAATTCTCGCTTGCCCACTTTCCCCTTATACTTCTTCCTGGAGATAATGCATCAAAATTGCATGTATATTTACCAGAATTAAGAAAAATAATTATTTGTGATGAATATTGCATTTCTGGAGAGGATAAACTAACCGGAAGCTAGAATAAATGATTGCCTGACTTTTACCCAGCTACAAAGCAGGAAATTTCACAGCTATGAACAAGATATTGGAAGGGTTGAATATAGATTAAGCACAAGAATCCCTGAATCTAGAATGATATCAAATTTACCTCATGGAAAATCATGTTCAAGGAGTTATTTGTTAAAGACTTGAATCTTCTCACTAATTGTAATTATGGCTCAACTTGTGCAACCATGTAAGTTTAGAAGTGTCGTGTACATGTCTTGGGCAGGATAGAAACAATTTTTTTTTTTTTTTACTAAGCAGAGTGAACTCCCATCAAATGTAAGTCATGTCATACAAGGCAGTCTCTTTCTGGATGAGGGTTTTCACATCCATGTCTACTAGGATATCCCTAGACTATGCAGAAAGTAAGGTTCCACTTAAAATCCAATTAATTGATGAAATAGCTCATAGATAATCCTTTTTAATTGATCCAGTATTCCTACTTTGCTGCAAAACAATTTTGAATCAGAACACATTCAAGCTGCCCTTTTGAGCATGACACATTTTAGGACTATAGAGATATGGTACAGAATAAAGACATTAGACAAGACTCCTTACAGGAGGCTATATTCCTCTGCAAGTTCTGGGGGAATCTTGAAGGGTTTTCTTTTGGGATTATCAGTAATGTTGGTACACTTGGTCCATTCTGTCAGATTTCCCAAACATTGATAACCAACTCCAGACCTAGAGAGGGGAAATAAAAAACATCACTTCTAAAGGCAAAACAAATGATCAGATGAAGTGAAAATAATAATCAGTGCTAATATTAATTTTTATTTCCATTGCATCATATACTACCATGAAAAATGAACTGACTGTAATGGATACAAGCATATGAGATTGTCTGAAAAAAGAATACAACATTGACATACCGGAATACAAGCTGTCCATTCTTGCAGACATCACATGGGTGAAGAGCACCAAAGGCCATGATATCTCCCAAGCGATCAAGCATCTGAAAAGATGAAGAAATATATATTCACAATAATAGTATCATATTTTCAAGATAACACCCATCATTAGCAGACATCTATATAATAATACCACAGTTTGTCTGTCTGAACCCCTCTTCACCAGCCAATCAGATCCTAGAAAAATAGGTGTTGATGGAAAGCCTGAACCCTTGGAGAGCTCTGAGTGCAATTTTTTTAACATGGCAACTAAATCTGAGGTAGTTACAACCAATTTATGGTTGCAAACTTCACAAAAGGTTGATGGTTTGGTTGTTAGAGTGCTTTGGCTCCCATGGTGAAATACCTGGATTTGAAACTAATTTTATCTGAGCCCTGACTTGTGTGTCTTCAGAAAGAGAGGCACCCAAGAATTCTGCACTCCCTTCTCACAATGCAGGACATAAAAAAATCCAAGCAGTGAAGGTCAAACCCAAGGAGGAAATCTATAAGTAATCCACATTTTATAAACCAGTACTCAGGAGCTAAATTGGATCTCCAAGGTTTAAGGTTACTTGAATGAAATTAACCCTTTCACTGCCATTCATGCCATATGGCGTGTTCAGTGCAGCAAACCTCCGCTGCTGTTCACACCATATGGCATTTTCGGCGCTGGAGAAGTGCATTGCAAAGAGAGTTTAGCTGGACATTTCAATCCCTGCACAGTGGGTTAGCAGGCAATAATAGGCCAAAAAAATCCAGTCTCAGGTTTGTCCCAAAAATTTTCCACAAACATAGGAACCCAGACTCAGGAAAATGTAATAATATTTTGTAGATGGGGCAAACAAAAACGCCATTCCAATACTGTCAAATTGACAACATTGAAATTTCCCTCAATATCGTCAAAAATTTGACCGATTTTTGAAAAAAAATGAACCAGGAAAGACTGTGTTTATCTCTAAGTGGCTCATACCCGAGTGGGGTAATGTCCTAACAAAAATGTGCATTATTTGCAGCTGGTGATCTCATCCCCTGTAAGTCACAAGGGGGTAATTCCAGGGATGGGTGAACAATTCGCACTTTTCTGACTTTTCAGGGCTGTATCTTCTTTTGGCATTAGACAGCACTATTCTGCTTCTTCCCAGAAGTTGGTACTTGTATTAGGAATAGAACTGTGGGGAGTTTATTTTCAGCAAGTTGTAGCAACATGAATGATAAAAGATTTTTCATGTCTTTCATATATGGGTACTTCTGGAATTACAAACAAAATAGTGCATGGGATCTACTTGGCTGCAGGAAAGAGTAAAAATTTGGAATTGTGAGATTGATTTTCCACAGGTTTTGGGTTCAAATCAGAAAAACATCATATACTTCCTTGGAAGACGTTGTGCAGAGACATCTTGATTGTAGATTTCTTCCTGCACCACTCTATTATTGCCTGACCCCCCTGATTATTGCACAACCCACTGTGCCCCAGCAGTCTTGACGTGTTTGGGGCAGCAAACCTCCACTGCCGTTCTAAAAAGTGCTTGGCAAGGAGAGGTTGGCTGGGTGTTTCAATCCTCAGCAGTCAAAGTGTTAAATGGGGGAGGGGACTCTTATGGGAGAAAGGGTTGGCTTGAATTCCAGAGCAAAGGCACATTCATGGGGTTTGAGTCTCTTATACGAGGTGAGACAGAACCTTCTTCTCCCCCTGTACTGCAACATGAAAGAGCCTTGGGAAAAACCTATTGAACATTGTATTCCTGAATAAAAATGAAACCCATATGACCAAGTCAATAATCTATGTGACCACCACCTGCAAGATGAACAACCTACAGGAGACAAGGGTAGGATTCAAGTAGGTCTTGAAACAAATCTGTTCTGTTCTCCATGCCATGGAGCATTTGAGTAAAGTTTCTCTGGAGGACTTTAGGGACAGCTTGAGTCTCACAAAATGTAATACATTTGATTATATCTATCACTCTCTGCTCTTTGCAGCTTAAGTACCAGCCATTTTGATACACTTATCTGAAAATGATCAGAAACAGTTCCAATTGAATCAGGCTTTCAGATCTTACCCAACATAAGTTAATAGCTAAAATGCTCAGGGTTGAAGGGAGGGAGAAAAAGGTTGTGTCCCACCCTGCATAATGTATAGCATTGAATCATATCTCACAGGGGCAATAGCAGGAATTCATGCAGACACGAAGGGGAATAGTGTGGATTGCAAGTTCCCTGCTTTTATACCTATTTGCTTTAAAATAAGCTACTGATGGAACTCTGTGATGAAATGCCACAAGGCAACAAGACCAATTGTAACTATGATAGTAAAAATGTGATAAAAATAAGTGAGAATTGGTAGGAAAGGCCTTATTCTCGTGGTTTTTCTGATGTGGAAATGGTGTTCTCAAATCCTGAGTGAATGTGAATGGTGATGTGATGTAACTCACTATCTTCCTTCGGACAGAAGAGGGCCAAGCATACAAGTTAACGACCAGCCTATTTTTGCTTGTCCGCCGCGTGGGACCACGTGCATTTTTTTTGTCAAAAAATGCATCCTGCCATCAGGACGCATGGTCCCAGAAAACAATTTTTTTTGCTGAGTTTTTTTAAAATGTTGAATTTTTTGGAATTTTTATCAGTAATTACGAAATCATAATCTTCTGGAACGTTCTCAACAGTTCCAGAGGGTATTCATTGAAAAAAAATCTGTATCCTGGCATCAGGATGCATTGTTGCCAACGTGTTAAAGAGTCAAACTATTTTAATTCCTGTCATTTGGCAAGGTACTCACCAGTCGACAACTAATCTCTTGAAACCTGCATTCTAAGGAGGCCTGGTATCCTCATTTGAAACAAAAATTAGTCAAATGAGCAAAATACAATTTTAAATGACAAAAAAAAATACTACAGCAAGGTTTCCAAACCTGAAAAAAGCCTGAATTATCACAAATAAAAGTTTTCTTTAATTCTTACACTGTCTTCCCCTTTTGGTGTTTCTTGTTGATTGTATTCAAACAATAAGGTCAAATCTTTCTTGCTGAGCTCCTTCTTAAGCCAATCTCTATACTTGAAGATCACTTCATTTTGCTTCTTTAATGTCTCCTTCATAGAGTCTTCCTCTTTTGTCCCTTCCAGTTTTGGCTTTTTCTTCCCTGCTCCATCAACTGCATCTCCACCTGCCTTCCTCTTTTTCCTGTGAACATATACTTATCAAAGTCCAATTCCCTTGATTTTTAAATATACTGGACTAGCTTCAAGAATTTCTGGTGGAAGTCAACCAAAAGTACATGCACATCAGGAATGAAGGAACAGATTGAAAACAATCCCTCAGAGTAAACTTCTTTCATGAATCAGGCAATTAGGAGCAAATATTCTATGGCAGCAGATGCTGACGGTATAAGTGAATACTTCAGAAATGGGGCTTATGGAAGAGGGCTGACCCATCCATTTTGCTGAGCTTCTTCTGCAGTTCAGCCTGGTCTTCTGCTGAAAGAGTCTTGAATCCTTGTAACTTAGCACCACTGTCAAAATACTCCAGCTCTTCCCTATCCTTCACAAAACAGTCCACATGGTGCCAGCGATTCATGGGGCCAAAACGCTTTGCACTATCAGATTCATAATCCTTCTTTGCAATTCGAACTTCACCCTGAAAATAGAACAGTATGGAAGATCAGTATGCATTGAATATCTACCTGAATGGATCATGGCAGTCTACTTCAGCTCTATGAAGCTACTATTGCAGTAATTCTGAGACTTCACAATGACCTGTTCAATAATTACAATATGCTCTTCCAGTGGATTCTGCTACACTGATTGGCTAAGGGAGGTGGACCATTCAGTTTGAAAAATAATGCCATGTGTTTCTGTACTCTATCAAGGATCATCACAGGCTGCCTCTCTTCTCCCTCTTGCATCTCAAAAATAGCTTAGTTATGAAAAATTAGTTTCAATCAAGACTTAGTCCAGAGTCTGTTTTAACTAGTGGTATACTTTTTCTTTGCTGTTTAGCAATATTTAAGAGAGATAAACATATGCAGAATGTACATATCATATACCTCTCTTTGTATCAGATGCAGTTCTTCTCCCACCATGCCTCAACAATGATAGTTTGCAAAAAAGCACTTTCTGTGAAAGTTTGTTGTCTAGAGTCAACCCTAGCCAGTGATATAACATATTGAAGCTATATGCATATATAGTTCATACAAATAATTAGTACAGCACTCATTTCTGCACATTTGTCATTATTTAACAACAAATTCATGAATCAACCAAAGGATTTTGGCATATTTTGGTAAATGAGTGGGGTCCACACCAGATCTGGAAATCTGGAACAGGTGGAATGAAATATATGGATTTGTAGGGTTTGATCTGAGGAGCATTTCGACAAGTTTTTCTATGGATATAGTGGTTATAGTAATGTTGTATCCCCCTAAGTTGACAACTCTCACCACTGTGGTCAAGGCTACCTGGCCAGTAATTGTTGTCTTTCTCCTTTTCCTTGTGTCCTCCTCCTCCATTCTTTTTCTTTGACAAAGGGCAGTCTGTTCCTTTTCATCATCATTTAGCAGTATCATCATCATACTACAGCTCCTTACACTCTGTAAGCAATTGTCAATCCAGCAAAACTGAATACCATTTATCATTCAACAAAATATTTATTCTAAAGCAGGACTCATGATTTTTACCTTTCTTCATAGGCATCTGGGATACCAGTTCTTTCAGTCTGCTGCCTTACCCATTGAAGTTTCAAACTACTTATCATGTTGGTATGTTAGCTTGAAAGCATTGGAATGACGTTGCTAGTTATTGCTCACTCACGTGAAGCTAGTTTGCTAGAACAGGTTGAACTAAGCAACAAACTCATTCTAATGGTTAGAACAAGGCTTTCACTTCTTCATGGCTTGTTTCAAGTTGCTCATCCTGTTCTTGATTTGGGTGTCAGAAGGCAATCCCTTGATATTGGTACTGAAAGGTGCTTTGAATGCCTTCAGGCTTTCTTTAGGTTTAGGATCAGCATTCTTGGCCACCAACTCTGCCAAGAAGCAGATATACAGTGTCTGCACCATCTTTTTGCAGAAGTCACCTTCCTCTCTCCCTGCCTGAATGATCAATTTGTGATATTGCTCCAAAATTTTGCCATCACTAGGCAGATCAAACCTGTCAGGATACCTTCTTCGTAACTCTTTAAGCATATGCCCTTGGACCTCTTTTCTTGGATTTATCCAATTCATGTGCGACAGAATTCAACTCACTCCAAAAAAAACTTTCGAAGTGACACACATAAAACAGATAATATACATATAGATCACATATGCACTATGACCTGAGACTAAGTTTTGAGAAAATCTTCTTAATTTCCCTCACAAGAAATCTTTGCATCTTCCTTAGTTTTCCTCCATTGTTGGATTGTGGCATACCATTGGATTCATCATAAGGAAATGTATATTCTGGTATATTTTCAAGATGATTGGGGAAATACCGGATATTAACTCCTGGAGGTGGCATACCTGACAAGGACACTAGTTGACTCCCAGATTTGTTGCTAAAATGCTATTCAGATACTTTTCACAGTCATAGTTTTTCTGTCCAATTTTTTTTTTTGGCATTTGTGTTTTTCCATTTCCTTCCGTACATAGAGTAAGTGCAAAAATGTTCAACCTTGCCATGATGTCTGTCCATCTGTCATCACACATCAACATAACTAGAAATCCAATCTGCTTTTCAAAAATGAAAATGGACAGTACATGCATTTTTCTCACAATTGGTGTATGTCCCTAAATCATAAAGTTGAAAGTGTGGGTGAGGGGCAGACTTGGGTGCAATAACTTAAGGGGTTGAAATTTGTCTCACTTACCCCAATGTATTTTTTTATTATCTCAAATTACATCTGCTCTTTTCTTGTGCACTGTTCATGATTATTTTATTACCTTATTATTCCTTCATTATTTCTCCATTAGCTTTCAAACAGCACTTTAAAAACATCAAATGGCAGCTGTTCATGATTTTGATTTCATGGAACAAGGGTGGGGCTGGCAGGAATTTCCAAGAACTTGGAAATAGAAAAATAAACATTTTATTTTTCAATGATTTAAATATTACTTAATCTTACAGGATATAGTATTCCTAAAAGCAGGTTATTCTAATATCCACATTTATTCATTCAATTTTTTTTAAATAATGCATCTTATGGTTAAAAAAATCAGCATACCAAGGTATTCCATTAAGTAGAATTCTAATAAGTGGAGTTGACTATACCTTCATCCTGAACCTGAATTCAAGTGCCATGTAGTGCCTTCTATAAAAGATCTCACCAGCCATCATCTATGCGATCTAGTTAAGTCCTTCAGTGATTTCCTGAGGGAATCCTTCAAGTACTAGGTATCAAAAAATCCTTTTACTCCTGCAAGCCATTGAACAAGGACTGTACAATTGAAGGAGATGTACCTTTGAATTCCCCATTCAAGAGAAGATTTATGTCTCTAATTTCATATATCTAAGTGCTATGGCTGGAAAGTCAGGTGACCATCAATAGACTAGGGTGGGGGACAGAATTCATGCCAACTCCTTCCGTGAGGCACGAGATCCAGGAACTAACTTAATCAACAATCCCCGTATAACAAGAATGATTGGAAGGTCAGGAAGATGGGTTCAGGCAAACTGGAGGAAGAGTTTTGAAGAAGTTTATACAGAGTTCAGAGAAGGTTGGCCAGAAAATCTGTCTCGTCAAATGAAATTCTGACTGAAACATGCACTGAGCAAAAAAAGAGCTGCAGTGATGTGGCTCTTGACATCAAGAACATCAGAGGCAAAAAGGTCAGCAAGCAAGTTGCATGGGACTTCCATTGATGAAAATGTAAGCATTCCACATTGTAATGAAACCATTGAAACTGAGATGAACATCCAAGATTTTGTGTGGTTTTGTGATTATCTCCATTAATGGATGACTGAATATTTCTTGCATTGGGCTCCCTTGGAATAGTTTTTTTTAAATGTGTTATTAAAATGAAATCACCAGAATGACAGAATTTGGGCAAAGAACATTGAAGATGACAGGGAGACTGTTGTTTCAAAACCACCTAAATGCATTATCATGTTCATGTATTTCACAGTGAAGGACCTCTTGCTTGTTGTCAAACTAATTGCTCAGATTTGGGATGGGGAATGATGGGATTTTCAGAATTTTGTCTTTGTTTTGACTCTGTTATCTGAACAACAGACAAATAGGACCTGGAGGGTCCTATTTGAAGGTGTACTTGACATATTTGATATGGGCAAACAACTAAATACTGACTGGGTCAACCCTAGACTACAAATCTTTTCAGAAAGATCTTTTGCAAATTGTGTCATTGTTGAGATGTAGTGGGAGAGGAACTGTATCTGATGAAAAGGGAGTTGTATAATGAAGAAATGATACTAGGTTTATGTTTATCTCACTTAAATATGGCCAAACAGCTAAAAATTTACAAAATTAAAAATGACACCACTGGCTGAAACAGCCTCTAGACTAAAAAATCTTGCTTGAATTGAACATTATTTTTTATAAGCTGAGCCATTTTTAAGATACAGGAGGGAGAAGAGAGACAGCCCATGATGGTCCTTGATAGAGTACAGAAACACATGGCATTGTTCCCCAAACTGAATGGCCCACCTTCCTCAATCAGAAAGAATTATTATTGTCAGTTCTTGTGCGACTAAGATTTTGCATTTAAAATATTTATTTAAAAAATGAAGACAACTAAGATGGGCTATGCAATCTATGTGTTGCAACATAATACTTTTGGTATCAATCAACTCTGCAGCTGGGTGTTAGGACTGCCATTTCTCCCATGCTACAGATAAAAGAGACTCACCTTTTCAATTTTGCTCTCACATGAAATACACGTAGATCGACTGGACTTGGCATATTCAACAGTGAAATCCTTCAGATTGGTACCAGGAGATACCTTTGACTTTCCACCTTTTTCCTTGGCAGATCCAGCACTCTCTAAAAGAAAAAAGAATCAATGAAGTTCAACACAATATTTTCCATCTGTTCTAATTATGCTGAGATCAAGTAAATGATATCATTTACTTGATTCCTTTACACATTGAATGCTGCCATATTCAAACAGTATGGAATCTTCCTTTCCACACCTACCAGGTCCATCAATAAGTTCTCAGTCTTTGCTTTAAATGCCAGAAATCTCCTTCATTTCAACAAACTCTTAAGCTTAGGAAACAAGAAGAAATTACTAGGAGATAAGTTTAATGAGTTGGATGGCTTATGAAGCACAAGGATTGGTAGGTGGGTCAGAAACCACAGAAACTGAAAAAGGAAGAAAATTTCAGGACATTTAAAGCAGCATTACAAACACATCATGAGTACTGCTGGCGATTCCAAAAGATGAGTGTGAGAAATTATTCCAGCAGCTGAAGAAACATAGAAAAATTTGTGTCAATGCCAAAGAGGACAACTTAGAAGGATATATCCATCAGAAGTCAGAAAGAACCACCATAAAAAATTCAGTCCTTGAAGAACTTTTTAATCTGAAGAACTTTTTAATCACCCCTCATATAGACGATTGTGACTGACTGATGCTAATTCTAACCATGTTCTAGAGAAGTTAGAAATCTGAAACTTGGTACATATACTTTGGTACCTATAGAGATGCTGAGATCAGAAAAATTCAGACTTAGGAGGTAAATGCCCTGGAGGCACATAATTTGTGGGGAGATGCTTACAAATAAATTTTTTTTGCTTCAGTCAATTGGAGAGACCTGGAATGCTAAAACTTGGCCTGAATGTACAGTACTAACTAAAATACTGAGTTCAGAAAAAATGTCACATTTGAGATACATCCCCTGGAGGCATATTTTTTGGGAGTTGACTTTTTCAAAGAATTTTTTTTTGTCCTAGCAAATCAGGCAGAAATAGAAAGGTGAAACTTGGCACATGCATAACTGATGTGATGTTGACTTCAGGAAAAGTTCTACTTCTGTGGTGCATCCCCTCAGGGCACAGGTTTTGGGTGAGTCGTCTTTTCACAGATATTTTATCACCAGCAAAAAGGGCAAATGTATAAGGCTGAAACTTGATAGGCATGGAGTTTTCTGAGTACCATTTTCAGTAAATATATAATTTTTAGGTAAAACCTCTCAGGGCACATTTTCCAGAATCTTTTTTGATCCAACAAAACAGAGGGATATAGAAAATTTGGTGACAGAATAGCATGCACTCTACTGTAAGGTGTGATCTACCTCCCAGCCAAGCAAGCAAATCCTCACTTACTCAGGAGGTAGATTAAAAAGAGATGGCAAGGGGGTTTAACTTTAGAATCTGTTACCATGCTTTTGGGAGGAAATAATTGTTAATGTCATATATATATCTACATGGATATATTGGTAATATATTTTTCATTCTCATGGTACATTTTCCTATGCCCTTCCAGTCTAGTGTCTTCAGTTCATTCTTCTGAACTGAAGACACTAGAGTTCTAAACTGAATGAAGAACTGAAGTTCGTTCATTCAGTTCAGTCTTCAGTTTGTCATTCAAGCAAGGCCAGTCATTGCACTGGCACAATTGGTGGATCCCCATTATCTTCTCCCAGGTTCGGTGTCAAAGGTCAAAGAGTGAGAAAGTCAACCTATTTTGGAAGATGATGGGTCAGTTGGGTTAGAAAAGGGTCACAGCCTTTGGCTGCGATTATTTTCTCGGAGTAATGATTTTGATAAAAATCTAGGTTATGTCCCCTCATGGCACATATTTCAATTGGGATGTACTTTAAATGAGTTTTTGCCACTTTGAAAATGAATTAATCACTATCTTGGATAATGGAGCACTGAAAGCCCAACTATTGTGAGTTTATTTGCACTCTTCACACTAGTACATAAGTATGCTTCCAACCGATTCTTAAAATTTCATCCAAATTTATAGGGCCAAAGCAATGTTATTAGTAATTATTGAGAAGAAGTCAGATATTGAGAGTGGACAAAAGCTCCTGCTGGTAATGGAATGGAGGAAACACTTGAATGCAGCCCTTCCTGGGCATCAAGACCACTTTGAACTCCTCTTTCACTCAAATTCATTCTAGTGAATCAAGTCAGCTAGCTGGTCACCTCTTGCAGATGGCTTCCATGAGCTTATTTCCAATTAATGGCATATGAATCAATGAATATCAATCCAAAGAGTTTTCACAAAGTACTTTAGAGTTTCCCTTGGTTTATATCAGCCTGAATCTATATGGTATGACAAAAAAGACAGACAACTTTGAGTATATCTAATAATTTCTGAAGTCACATCTCACCTAAGTTGCTGAAGATATATAGCATGCCTTCATTCAATTCAAAGTCAACAAGGCTGCCAAATCCATCAATTCACATCAAAATTATGAGTTATATTCCATGACAAGTCTACCATTTAAAATGGAGAACTCCATCAAAAAACAAAGGAAAATTCTGAATGTACATGATTCTTATAAAATTAGTTGCTCTAGTTGAAATGTCCCTAATTCAAAAAGTACACATCAGAGGCCTGCCAAAACCAGTAGATAAGCTAATATCACCAGGGCAAACTCTTACACCTAATTTGCATATGGGTAAAGTATAGAAACACAAACAAACTCACCAACATTCATTCTGCCTTCAAAAATGCCTAGTGACAGGTAATCTCTGAATGGAAGGAATACTTTCATTGAGCATTACTACAGCAAATGTAATAACACTGATGCAGAATCAAAATCATATTGACATGAAAGTGGGGAACAAACTGGACAATACAGCAATGAGGCTAATCGGATGCTCATAAAAGAATGAGAAAAAACATGAATGGTTATTAATGCAACCCAAAATGGATGCCCCACAACAACTGTAGAGATTATAGTAGAAGAAAGACAAGTGGCACTTCATATTGCAGAAGAAAATTTGCATGGTGAATACAGCACAAATAGAGTTGCTAAACACACTGGACTTCCACCATTGACAGACAGTTTGGAAGATCATGTGTAAGACATTGAAGCTCTACCAATAAGCCTCATTGCTGCAAAGACAAATTCATTCCCTGCTTTCATGCCAAGATGCTCTTAATGCTGCATCAATATTGTTACTGATGCTATAGTAATGCCTGATGAGGAACAGTCCTACCAATCATTGAGTTTGCTCCTGTTTTTACACTCTACCCATATACAAGTTTGGCATAACAGTGCCCCCCCCTGGTGGTATCTATTTTTAGACTGGAATCACCTTCCCCATTGTCCCATTAGCATATCGACCCATTATGGCAGGCTTCTGGTGCATAGTATTTCAATTACAGATGTTTCAATAGGCCAACTAACTTATTAGAACCCTGTACTTGGTGAAAGCTCTTTGGATTGATACTTGTTGATTAATTTGCTATTCATTGGGAATAAGCTTATGAAAACCATCTGCAAGAAAGAATCAGCCCAAAGAATGAATTAAACAGAAGAGGAGTTCAACAATGTTTTGATGACTAGGAAGAGCAGTGCTCAACTGCCCTTCTCCCCATTGAGCAGGAACTCTTGTCCATTCTTGATGTTTAACTTTGAAATAATTAATAAATAAAACTTCAAACTAATAAATAATTGCTAATGGAATCGTTTCAGCTCAACAAATTCAGAAAAATTTTTGAGAATCAGTTGAAACATACTCATGAATACACAGCAAATGTTTCAAGAAATTAGCTTCAGTGTGGGGGGGGGGGGAAATATAGGTTTTCCTGACGAATTTCAGCGACAGTTAATTCAAATTTGGCAGTGCTCCTGTCTCCTTCCCATTTTCCCATTCAATTTCAGCAGGTAACTTTAGATTTCGGCAGGGCAGGAAAGAGCAGAAACGCATAGGGTATTTTTTTGTTGAATAATCATTATTTTATTATGCAAAGGAAAACACATAGACATTGACACTAATTCCACCCATTGATAAGTTCTCTCCTTAGGCACCTGATCAAGTATGTTTGTGCATGACAAAACCACACAAAGCATTTCTGATGGGTGATAAGGGCATGTTTTGTCAGATTCAAGAAAGGCGAATATGCAGGCAGAAACTTCCAGTGAATGTTAGGAAAGTCATCTGGAACCGAGGCTTGTTTGTGGGGTCTAGCATAGTCTAAGATGATGAACTGGAATGGAATATTCTAAATTGGCTGCTCCTTTCTGAGTCCTCCACGTAGGATGTGTTCATGTTCATTTCCATGCTTGGAATAATCTTTTACTACAAAGGAACAAGAGGAATGCGTCACATCGCCGACGTTCCAGGAATTCTTTGAGGAGCTCCTGAAACATGCACACATGATTTCACCAATAGATCAACCAGTTTATGTTATCGTGGATAATGCTAGACCCCACGAATGAGCCTCAGTCCCAGATGACTTTCCTAATGTTTGTGTGAAGTTTCTGCTGACAAATTCTCCTTTCTTGAATCTGACAGAACGTGCCCACTCTGCAATTAAGGCAGCTGTCAAACATGAGGTGTACCTTCCTGAAACACAGGTAGAACTTGGACGACAAAGACCAGAACAAAACTCACAGCAAAGTCGGACAGAGAAACTGCTCGAAATAGGAGAGGCATCAGTTGGGCAAATAGAAGAAAATAGAAGTGCTTTGCGTGGTTTTGCCATGCACTAACATACTTGATTAGATGCCAAAAGAGAACATATCAATAGATAGAATCAGTGTCAATGTCTATGTGTTTTTCTTTGCATATTAAAATAATGATCATTCGTCGAAAATACCCTATGTGTTTGTGCCCTTTCTTTCCCTATTCCTCATTCCCATTTTAATTACCAGAAACAAGATATTTCCTTACGCTGCTGAAATTGAAACGGCAAATGCCAAAATCAAAAGTCACCTGCCGAAATTGAATGGGATAACTGGGAGGAGAGAGGAGCACTGCTGAAATTGAAGTGGTTGCTGCTGAATTTGAATGGACTTTGCCAAAATTCATCAGGAAAACCTATCTTTAGGTCAAAAGTTGTTGGTTTGTTTGTTTTTTTTCCATACCCTTTATATGCCCAGAGCTTGCTGCTGGAGCTTATAAAAGCTCTTTAACATGAATTTGGCACACTCAACATAAACACTAGAGGTTCACTGATCCTCTTTCTTCTGACTGTACTATTACTGCATATGAGCTATTTACACACATCAGATGTGTGCCATATGCAGGAAAGAATGCTGGGTCCTTAAAAACAATAATTAAAAGGCATAAGTAAATGGAGTTTGAACTTCAAAATATAGCTGTCCTGGCAAAGATACATGACTTGATACTGACCAAAGAGAGGGTAAACAACATAATCACTCCCTACCTCAAAAAACACTAACTTTTATATTTTTCCCACTAATAATGAGGTTGATATGGATCTCTAGCATCCCTAAACCACAAAATACCCTACTCTGGCTTCACCTTAAGAACCTGTCCCTAGTCACACCATTCAAGAACTGGAAAAATTTAAACTCTGAATGTTAGAAAGACAACTCAATGTAATATGGCCAAAGAAAAAGTCTCATGCATGCATTAACACTTACAGTCCCATACTTGTCACGACAGGTATACACCATAGTGCATTCAAATTCCTGGGACTGAAAGGGTTAAAATGATGCTTGCAACCTTGCTTCCATTGTCCAGCTATAAAGAAACACACAAGTATACTTACCAATTTTCTTTCTGATGGTTTCCTGGTCTTCCCAGCGGAGCTGTTCAAAGTGGGAGAAGTCTGCTGCATCATGTGGACGCTGCTTCTCAAAAAAACATGGCACATGATGCCAATTGGGTTGCTTCCCATCAAACATAGGAGACTGCAAGAATAAAATTCAAGCCTATTGATCAGTGAAAACCATCAAAAGTCCACTACAAAAGGAAGAGATCAAAGTGGGATAGGAATACAAGTGAAATCATTGTTACACCTACAGCATATCAGGAACACTGACATTTTTCAGAATGGACAAATAGTGAAAACCAGCCAAAGTCAAACTTGAGGATTGTCTTGATATTTCTGTATTTGATACATTGAGTGTTGTGTCAATAATAAAATACTATAAATTAGTTTACCATTAGGTACAGGTATCAGTTAGATGGCAATATCAGAAGGACTTTCTCCAAACCTACATCAGATCTTGGCTATTGATATGGTCTGACTGAATAAAAACCAGGACCATGTCAGAATCCCTATACTTAAACACTATTTTGATACCAATGATAAATGCCCATCTACACATAGCAATGCAAATTTTGGAGTGAAGACGTGGAATATTTTGGCCAGAAATCTCTTGGTCCACAAGGCACAACTTAAACAAATTTATGGTGCTAAATGTGTTGATGTAAGAGGCATGAGTGAACTTGAGCCTGCATAGTTCCTGCTTCTGATAATTGGCAAAGTGCCAGCAGTAAAAGATACTACTCACAAAAAGTTAAGCAACCCAGTGATTTTCCAGAATAAAAAGAAATAAATTAGCAAACTTTGAAAATACCAACTCTTGCATTTCATAAGGGAATGTTTGCAGAATCAAATTTTCCGGAAAAAAGTACAACCAGTCTGGCACTATGCGGCAACTGCAGGTCAAAGACAAAGAGAAAAAAACTGAAGTTCACAGAGAAAATTGTCCAAACTGTTGAGCCTTCAGTGTAGAGTGTGACCAAATCTTGTCCAAACTGAATCCATGCCTCCACCCTGTCATCAAGTGGAATGGACGTTGACTGCTGATGGTGCAAATAGTAGTCGGCAGCAGCCATGCCAAACAAGATCCTAATTGAAGATTCCATCATGGAGCTCCCAGGCTTCCATCTACTATACTACTTTCCACTACATAAACGAGATATCAGGGATTCACCTAGCTGTGGATGTGGCGAAGTACAAACCATGAGCCACATCACTGACCACTGTTCAATTCATGCATTTCCTGGAAGGACTCAAGCAAATCCACCAAGCAACCCTGGACATTATCAATAGGCTGTCTAGCCTCAACAAACAGCTCTAATTTTATATATTTTTCCCTCTCGTTGCTTTTGAATGCCATACGCAAGAAGAAAACAAACTTTTTCTTGGAATGGATACTGCCCCCCTCCTCCATTGAATCTCCATCACATTTTTTTTCCATAATTAAAAAGAGCATCTCCTCTTCCTTGATGCAGTTGGAAATGTAGTATCTCCTTATTCTTCCAAGTCTTTTGCTGCAATTATCCAACCAATCCTTCTCCTGATGCCCTCAATTACTCCTACTCCATCTTCCCCACACAGAAACATTAGGCCAATACTGGGTGAGTCAAAAGTCCTGCATACTTTTGAATGTTGATAACTCTTGAATGCTAGATTGGATTGAGAACTTATCTGGATCATTCAAAAGATAAGAAAATGCTCTAACTTCATTAATTTCATAATTTGAATTAAGCATTCACACCTGAAAACATGCTTACACAAAGTATCATGTTGACTCAACTCCTAATCAAATAAATTTGAGTAAGATGACTGGGCAATGATTATCCATTGATAAGGATGTAGCAAATATTCCACTTAATTCTGAATTTTGCCAGAATGTGATGGCAAAACACTCTACAACTCAAGAAAAAATTTATTGGAGAAATTCTCAGCCTCAAGTTGATAATCCAAATCATTTTGAATATTGATATAATTGAAAGAAGAGCAGACATGTCTATCTTTAGACATCCATGAACTGGTAGCCATAATGAAAATTAAAGTGGTCAACAGGAAAATTAAAACAATCACTTTGAAAGTAGACAGCCACAGTTCCTTCAAATTGGCCCAATTAATGTTCTATATATCAAACTTGCAACTTTGAAGAAACAGTCTTGTTTCAAATGAAGTAAGAAGTGTCAGATGGAGACATTTATTGGCTTTTGAATGATCTAAGCTCCATTGCAGCCTGATTGTTCAATCATGAGCTAGTACCAATCAAAAGGCCTGCCCACCATGGGAGTCATGGGAAGATGCATTGTGATAGGCTTTCCATGTATTGAAAGAAGCTAAATGTATGAGGACATAAATGGTAACAATATATAGATCATGTAAGGCTCATTCATACATGAACCCATTTTAACCATATCCATGTGATCACAGTGTACCATGTGAAATAAAATATTAAGGGAAATTTCGTTTTTCAGACAAATGGGTTAGCTTTGCTGGGCACATATCCAATGTCGACTTTTTCATTTTGCCAGTAGGCTTCCAGGGAAAGCATTCAATCTGATTTATGATGGGGGTGGTCAGACATTCTTGAAATGAATATCTGAGTTTTGGCCCCCTTGTCACTATCCCCTGCCTACCTAAAATAGCTCTGCATCCATGCCAATAAAACAGCATTATAGAATGGGAGGAATGACATGGCAATGGACTTAAGCTGATTAACAATGCAAGAACAAAGGATCTTCCAACATGAGGAAGACTTGAATTGTAACGAACTGGCATCTAGTTCATGAGGTAGGCTTAGCCCCATCAATATCCAATTCAATTAACTGAGTTCAATGAACAACACACAATGCATGTTATCTAACTGTAGGCAATGCCTGATGCTATGAACAGACAATGAAGAAGTACCTCAGGAATATAAGCATGATGCCATTCTTGGGATACCTCACCTCTCAAAAGGAGAAAGTTTAGACTGTCTCCAGTATCACAATGTGTTGTGCCTTTCTCAGATTGGCATCTCCAAGAATGAATTTCTCCTTTTGCTATGGTAGGTCTGAGACTTAAAAATGGTCAGATAAATTCATTATTTCTTTCAACTCACCTGAACCATAATAGCCAGTCTCAATGAATCCTTGACAATCTGCCCTCGGCATCCTTTACATGATGATCTATTGCTTTTTGCATATTCAGCCCGATAAGGCAGGTCATCTGCCATTTTCTCAAGATATAGGTCTACTTGACCAGGTCTCAGCAGTACTAGAATTCTTTTTCTAGCTTCTCCTGAAAAAAAAAAGGAATAGAAGGAATGACAATTCAATGGCAATTTTTCATGGATGATTGATCTCATGGTAGAGTGATATAATATTCTAGTGATGTTGCAGACATAATATTATATCCATGGTTATGAGCAGAGTTGGCTGATTTAACTAAATCAGGAAGTGAGACAGGTCATCTCCAGCTGGATTTGTTGCACACTGAATGTCCAATACCTGCCATTTGATAATAGATCATGAAGTTCCTTTAATGTATATCAGCATTTGAATACAATGTGCATTATGTTTTTCCTACTCACACCATTATTTGGTAGCATAGCTGTGAGGGTGGGTGAGCTGACCAATGCTAATGTTATGGTTATTTGAATTTTAAAAATTCCTTTTCATGTTGTATTTCTACGACATTTAGAGGTAAGAGCAGAAACAGATTCCAACAGCAAATCATGCTCAAGGTCAGCTGTGTACTCCCTGAAAAAGATGGTTGATTGCAGCAGTAACCTAGCTCAAAAACTATCTTTTCCTTTTTAGCTTCCTTCAACCAGTCACCCAACACCTAGTTTTTACCCTAAATTTGAAAGGACTTGATAGAGACCTTTTGGATTAAGACTATCACATGTTTTACTGTGTCATTGACTTCTCCTGTGCAGGCTCTGTTCTGTAAATAATTCACCTTGGTTAAGACTGATGTATAAATTGCCCTTCCAGGAGAAATGCAGCAAGTGCAAGGGCACATCATTTCTTGTTCAAGGCTTAAATCAAGTGATTTCTTTAATATAATTTAAATCAATTTACACACACCTGGGTTCATGAAAGTTACTTTTCAGAGGAATCCATTAGTGTGGTTTTGAAGCACCAAATTCCATATACTTATACATGTTTTAAGATTCAGACAACCTTGAAATACGAAAGTTTAGGCCTAATATGCATACATTATCTTGCCAAAAGTCAAGATCCACCTACAAACTGATCATTTCACCAGTAAAAATGATGCTGGGTCTCCCTTGGCATAGACAACAGCATGAACTCAACCTGGCTAAAAAAAAATGGTTCTCAGCATGTACACTGTACTTCAATTGTCCCATACGGAAAGATCATATATGGTAATTATATGCAATTATCTGTCCCATATAAATTCATGTATTGAAATATGAACACACGAGGGCATATATGGTCGAAGCATATGATCCATATAAGGATAACTCATTTATTAAACAAATCTGGGCAGCATAAATATTCTATATAAAATAAATCTGTGGTTTGCAGGATGGGCTCCAGCATATATGATCTATATGGTTTAAGTACATTACTTTTATTTCGTTCAATAAATGGCCTTATAGCGCACTACATGCATTTGCATTCTATTTCTATTTCTTTCTATTCCTTTTCCCTATACTTTTTTTTTGTGCATTGTCTTTCATTTTTGTCATAGTCTTTATCCTCATCTTTTGTCCTTACTTGAAAATATGTGGAAATATAATATATTCTATTTTACTCTTATAAAGGGCCTTTATTTATTGTATATACATTTTCAGTGTGCATGCTTGCAGAGCAAAATATATTGCCAGAAATATATATCCCATACGCATAAGGTACAATATACAATTTATATGGTATGGTCATACTCGCATAGCACTGTGATATCCCAGGGATGCCCCAAACCGGATGGCTTGTCCCAAGGCATTTATGGGGATATTTTAAGGACATCTTCAGTTGGATGGTGTCTGACATCTTGAAAGGGATGGCTTCAGGACTTCTTTGAGATGTCATTTAGACATATGTCGAAGAACACCATACAGAACAACCCTTTAAAAATATAGGGTTGTCCTGTATGGCAGAAAATGAGTCTGTTTCAGAAAGAAAGGTATCAATATATTTTAAACCATTGAGAAGCCCCTAGTAGTTATCTCTGGGATGTACTTGTGTTGGAAGTGAATGGTTTTGGTATTTTCACAAATGTGACAGATGAATTTCCAATTCCCAGCTTAGTTCCTGAATTTAAATTTTTTTATTTGGGTGAGACATGTGAGACGAACATGATTTCATACATGTTTCATACCTGATTTGGTCATGTCTCTTATCAGCTGTGACAAATATGTCCCACTATACACTAGATGGATGTACAAAATCATACAAGTATCTTATCTGCTTCTACACATCTTTTACATACATGCTTTTTATATAAAAAATTTTTTCATGGCCTTGTCATATATGATCATATACTCATTGTTTCAGTAAGAAGATTTAATCATATATATTTTCCCATATATGTTCATGCAATATCAGATATGATAGACCACATGTGTTTCATATATCACATGTGCCACTTTCTCATAAAATCATATATGATTTTTCCATACAGGGTGCCATGACACTATGTACTATATTGCTGGGGCTGGTCCATAAGTACAGGGTGGACATAAAGCCCCAATCTATTTTATTGATAAACTCAAAATTCTTACAAAAATGCATAAGTGCACTTCACATTGTCAATAATGAACTAAATAAAATGTAATAGTCAATTAAAAATCAGTTAACATTCTTTTTTTACTGATGCTTCACATGACCACCTTCCAAATCAACACATAACTGCAATCGATCTGTTGTTTCCCTGAACATTCAGGATGGTCAGCATGTCAGGGGTTACAGTGTTAACAGCAGCATAGATACAATCTCTTAAATCTTCAAAATGGAGAACCTTTGTGCTGTAAACCTTTGACTTAATGTACCCCATTCAAAAAAATCCAAGGGGGTTATGTTAGGATATCCTGAAGCCAACATTCTGTTTGATCCTCAGCCAATCCAACAGGTCAGGAACTTTTCATTAGATAATCTCACACTATGTTCACGAAATGAAATTTGGGCTTCAAGATCCCTTGACCTAACCCCTTTGACTTTTTTTCGTGGGGGTACATTAAGATGACAGCATAAAGGTTCTTAATTTTGAAGATTTAAGAGATTGTATCTATGCTGAACATCCTGAATGTTCAGGGAAACAACGATCAATTGCAGTTATGAATCAATTTGTAAGGTGGTTATGTGGAACTTTAGTATTAAAAAAATGTTAATAACTGATTTTTTATTTACTATCACCAGTTTAATGCAGTTCCTTAATGACAATGTGAAGTGCATATTATGCATTTTTGTAGGAATTTTGAATTTATCAACATAATAGATGGGGACTTTATGACCACCCTGTATTGCAGTAGTTAGGCTGGCCATTCCTACCAAATGGTATCCTATTATCAGGTTCCATTAAAACACAGTACACTCACAGTCAAGCTGTTATGTTTTCAACTGATGTTCAGTCCTCATCCAGATCTTATATACCTGCTAGTATGGTTACTGAGGCCCATGGTGGCATTAAAGCCAATCAATCATCACTTGCATTAGTGGATCCTTGAAATTAGGTAATATATTGTTTGTCATAAAAAGCAACAGTTAGTCAATACCCTGTTTTGCAGGTGATATCAGGCCATAATGTGCCAAACCATTTTCTAGGACTCAAAAATATAGATTAGGCCTTTTTTTTGCTTACTTTCAGTGCCCTGTCACCAATAAGTATGGTAATTTCATTTACAGTAAAATATAAAATAATACTATATATTTCTGAAATATACAAGTGACCCTTGGGGATAGGGTAGGATTTTACACAGTTCTCAGCCAGGGAAAGGGTTAGGGATGAAGAATGTACTTGTAGATCTACTTTTTATTAATTTAAGTCTGTAATAAGTGGCATGTTGCATCCCAACCTCACTACCAATTTAATCCTGTTTTTATGCATTTCTTTACTTCATTTTTTTCTATCATTTCCCTTACTGAAAATCTTTTAAGTACTTTTAAAATTCAATGCTGGTTTTGCAAATCTTCAGGCAGTAGGTAAGAGCCCCATGTTACCTCAGGTAGAAAACTTGTGAAAACATTAATTTCATTCTCACACACACAGGAATGAAGAATTTCCAAATTTGTTTCATTAGTATTGTCCCTACTTCTCCATTTTGTGTTATGATTTCCCTTTTCTTCATGGAACCAGGAATGACCAGGAGAACCTGACTGGAAAATTAGTCAAACAAAGTCTTTCAACAAAATTAATTGAAAGGCCTGGGACAAATAGCAGGAAAAAGTAGCTGAATCTGATAAGGATTGTCACTGCATGCATAGATGATGGAACTGGGTTTTTAAATACACAATGTAAGCAAACATGTTTAGCATGTCCCAGAGTCCACCCTAAAAATGGTTAGAGAATACGATGTCAGGTACAGAGGTGTGTACAGAAAGTGTAAAGAACATCAAGAAATTAAAAAATATAATACTTTTTATTTTCCTAAAGCTTAAATGAAAAATGAATATTTTATTGAAAAAATTACAAACACTAATTTCAGGCAATCATAGGAATTACCTATTTATGGAAGATCTTGTACAACAATAATTTAGATTGCAAGCCAATTTTTAAATATTTTTCATTTACTGCAATTCCTTGTAGACCATTTGAAAATTCCATATATTGTTCCAATTGTTCCCATCTATCGTGTGCATTGTCAGTTAAAATGAAAACACACCTACATGAGTAAGCCAAGTTACGTCATGAAATAGCATTACTGATGAAAATACTTGTGAAGGTTCAAGTCTATAAAATTGAAACCTTCACCTTCATTAACAAGGGTGAATATGTTGAACACCATGAAACATGTGTTCTTGGAGTAATTGACTATGGTCTATGAATAATTAAAAATGAGTTGATTGCAATTAAGGTATGGTGACTTCCATATGAATAATCTTACTGTATTTGATGGATTATGGACCTTTTTTGGATACAGGCACATTTCAGGTATTCTCATCATACATAGATATGACATGGTATATATGGACAGTATATGGTCCATTTGTATGAGCCAACATATGAAAATGTATGGGGTCATATATTTTCATTCTTATATGATTTTATGTGACTTGTGTCAAACTCCATACATGTTTCATATATGTTCCTAAATGAATTTCACTATATGGTCATATATGAAATTTTCATGTGGGAGGTTAGAGCATTATAGCAAAAACTTCATGAAATTTTAAATCTTCCTTTCCAAAGGCTCTGATATTCTTCAGAGAGAACAAATTACTTTTCACAATGCTGTTTCCTACAAAATTTCTAGTTTTACAGAGTGAAACTTTTCTCCTGTAGTTCAAACTGATATGCAGTTATCAAAATGTTAATTTTATGTAGCAAAAAAAACTTCTTTAGTAATTCTTTGCACAAAATTTATTTCTAGTCATTTATTAACTTTTTCCTTTGCTGTCCGAAGTTATCTTCACAAGGACAAAAAACACATGTTATGAAAAAGTAAATGTGACTCAGTTCCAGGTGATTTCATTCATAGCATAAAGTACATAAACATTCTTCCACATGAATTCTGATGTCTTTGCAGAGCACTGCAGAAAATTTTTATTTTTTGCATGCCTAATAACTTCCTCAGTAACGACTCCTGCCAAAGTGAGTCACCCAAAGAGGCTGCCAAGGTATGGATGGGGTTAGGTGAAGTTATAAAAGGAAAATAGACAGATCAGGGGATATGGGTTCTGATGGGAGGGTGTATTCATGGGAGGGTGTATTCATGGGCTTTGTGCTTCCTGTTACTGGTAGCATTTCATGTAGTGTGCAAATTCTGTCCACATGATTACCCCAGCCTAGCAACCAGCTCAACACTTAACAGTATACCTATGACAAGCAGGAGTCTCTAAAGTCCATGAGTGTGGTCTGGTAGAAGAATCCAGTCTAGGCCTCCCTCCCATCTAAACTCCACCAGCTTGTAATCTCCTCTAACACCAAGTAGACTCAAACTTCCATGTAATCTATATTGAAACTCCACTTGGCTTGATAGTTCCTCCGAAGTTACGTTCTGGGGTTCAGCCTTCACCAACGGGGTGCCTTCAACGTCCCAAACCAAGAGAGTGCTTCGGACTTGAATGGTTTCTCAAAACAAGCTGGGGCGTAAACCCGGAAGTAAGAGCGGAGGCTTGGTTCGTTTCGAACCTGGGTCCCAGCCCTGGAAGCCCAACGTGCAACCCAATAAACCACCCGCATGTATAATGCCAATAATCTGCTGCATAATGTTTTTCACTTGCGTCAGAAAATTTTTTACCCGACTTGGATACCCATGCATGAGACGTTTCTCATGCAATGCTGTCGAAGCCTAGTGAAAAAAATGTCTGAATCGAGTGAACAACACTATGGGTGGATTTTTGAACAGAGCATTATCCGATAATGCAGCTTTATTTACCGGATTTATAATGCATTTTCTCTGAAATAAAGCTGCATTAGCGGATAGTGCTCTGTTCAAAAATCCACCTTATACCTGACCTAACACCGGGACTTGGGCATGGACTCACAGGGCGCGCCGCAGGGAAGCCATGGCCGGTTGATAGATATATATAAATGAAATATTTCCTCATCCCTCTAGATACGAAACATACGTATTATACTTTTTAAAAGTAAGCTCACGCTTAAGGGTCGAATTTCTCAGTACATCAAATAGGGCAATTTGTATGATCATTGGTCATATGATATCATATTCCAGATGACGTTCCATGGACAGCACTGGTTGTCGCCAATTCTCTGACCGTCCCTACGACACGGCAACTAGTAGGCGTATGCTTATATGAACAGGAAGTGAAGACTGTCGAAGTGTGGTTCATTAGAACGTGAGACTAGTAAAACTCTGCGAGGAACCAGGCCCAACGGTAGCACATCGTAGACTCTACCGCTTGCAACGTTAGGCCTACCGCCTGGGTTGCGTCCTAGCGAGCATGGCGGAATATCTCGCTTCGATTTTCGGAACCGAGAAGGACAAGTGAGTGTTCGGAGTAGACTTATTATGGGCGCAATATATATATATGCCTTCCTAGTCCCCTGGACCTACTGATCAGACTCTGGTGGGGGTTAAGGTGCCATTTTGCAAGCCAATACAACTGCTTACTTTTCAATTGAATCAGCACACATCAAAGAGTTGTTCACGGGTTCCCACAAAACATTACCAGAAATTGTTTATGGTCAGTATTCCCTGAGATAACTATATGTAACCGTTAATTGCATGACTGGGAATATTCACACTGCAACAATTGGGCCATTTAAATAATAGGAGCTGAGCTCATTGTCTGTCCTTGCCTCCATTCTAACCCCATCCTGTGTGACCTCTGCCCTTGGGAAAATTCATAAGATTTTGTAATTTAATCAATTCCATAATTACTTTGAAGCTAGAGACTCTGACTAACATTTCACCTACATTTTTAGGTTTTCACTAAACCCAAGCACACTGCATAGAACTAACTATAAACACATACCAAGGGAGCCACATTCCTTTTATGTTGGGCCGAAAAAGTGAGAAAGTCAACCTATTTTGGAGAATGATGGGTCAGTTGGGTTAGAAAATAGTCGTGACCTTTAGCTGCAACATTTTCTAACCCAACTGACCCATCATCCTTGTAGGATGATAAACCTTAAATGAGTTGACTTTCTCACTCTTTGGCCATTGACACTGAACTGCTTACTCACAACTGGACCTTCAGCTCAGTTACCATCTCTGTTTGCCTTCATTGAATATAGTGTGCAGGCCCTGCAGTAATATGGCACTCTGCACCTGTTCAGCTCAACCAAAATCTGCAGCATGTTACTGACATCAGCACTCTTCCTACACCCGTCATTACGTAAAACTGAAAGTGTTTCACCTAAGCACTTGACCAAAGTATTTATATAAACTAAAAATTTATTTGAATGTATCAAGTTTCATTGGCCTGGGAAATGGCACCATAGCCAAACTTTTAATTTAGATTCATCAATGGATAGAGTAATATATTTGGGTGAAGCCACAGGAAGATACTTTACGTTAGAGTAGAGAGAGGAGGAATGAACGTGTGGGTCGTTATTGAGTTCTTTGTCAACCCCCTCTCTTGTGCTTTGTGTTGCTCTTCAAGTTGTTCAAGATCATATTCCAGAACATAAGTGCACTAAGAATGTCATTTAACTGTCTAAAGAGTGAATATTCCTGTTTGCCCTAGAGAAAATAGCTTGTTTCTATTTTACTTTCAAAATAATACCATTTTCTTTCTTTTCTAGAGTGAACTGTTCCTTCTACTTCAAAATTGGGGCTTGCAGACATGGCGATCGTTGTTCAAGAATCCACAATAAGCCCAGCTTCAGTCAGGTCAGTGGTCTTTTCTTCCATGTGGTCCTTGAATATATAGGGTGGTTAAAAAAAAATACTATCGTTTTCTATGTGAGAAACACAGTTTCATAAATGTAGTTTTAAAAAACTACATTGAATATGTGATTGATTTTTGACAGTTACAAGGTGTAGAAATGTTTGCCAGCTTTTATTCAGGATGCCTGCCTAAGTGGTGCAATGCCTATTTAGAGGTGAATTAAAGGTTCTTAGAGTTGGATCATTCCACCACAAGTGAACTTATTGCCTGTGCTCAACTGTCTCAGAAGTCAATGATTCAATTCAATTTTTTTCACTTCCACAAGATGGTGCAGTATCCCAATAGAAGGCACTGTCATTGACTGAGTGACTGAGGGTGATTTAAAAAAAAAAAGCTCCACCATTTTCATGGGGGAGAAAGTATGATTCATGTATTCGAGTAAAAAATATAAGATTCATGAGCTCTCGATATTGGACATATAGGAGATGTAGAAAAGATAGTCTTTTTTTCTGAACAATTCCCTGAGCCATATATTGTTCCGTTACACAGTTTACAGGTGGAGTATTACCCTTTTTTTTTTTAATCACCCTCATTCCCCAGTCAACGACAGCACCCACTATCTGGATTCACCACCATCTTGCAGAAGTGAAAAAAAACTCAAACACATGAACCTCTCTGTGAAGCTGGATCCGACTGTCCCTTGAAAAGTTTAAGTTGAAAAGTTAATTGAATTCTGAGATAATTGAGCACAAGTAATCACCTCACTTGAAGTGGAATGATCCACCTCTAAGCACCTTTAATTCACCTCTAAATGGGCATTGCACCACTTAGTCAGGCATCCTCAATAAAAGTTGGCAAACATTTCTACACCTTGTAACAGTAAAAAATCAATCGCATATCCAATGTAATTTTTTTTCTACATTTATGAAACTGTGTTTCTCCCATAGAAAATGGTAGAGCATTTTTTTTAACCACCTTATATATGGGACCTTCTTTGGAGGACTAAGCCTATTAACTCAACACAGTAAAGAGATAATAGGCTTAGTCCTGAGACAGCTGTCTCAGTGAAGAAAAGCATTTACATCATTCCATTGATGTTTCATTAAGCCATTAGCTCTTGATATAGTGTTAGAACCTGATGCTTTGACTGCTGTAGGGAAGTATTTGCCAATGTTTTTAAATTTTTTTGGTATTTCCATGTGCCTTTTCATGATGATGGAGATTTCTTCGTTTCAGACGGTTTTACTGCAGAATTTGTATGTGAACCCCCAGAACTCTGCAAAATCTGCAGATGGATCTCACAGTGAGTCTTTACTTGCAGTTCTTCCAATATTCCCATTGAGCATGACTTAAGATATTGATGCTTATGAAATTATTGCTCAAAGGAAGACAAGAAAAAATAATTATTATAATTTGGGAAAAAATATAGACAAGCAGGCTTATAATGGGTAGCAAAAGAGATTAAGTGGAAAAGCTGATAGTGCTGATGCATGGATTTGATAATGCTTTTAATTTCCAAATTGCATATGCAGAATAATTGTAGCAGTAAGACATCCCATGACTCTTTAATTTAAAAATGTATCATATTTCTTTTTTGGTGTATGTAATTGCAGTTGCATTTTTTTCTAAGCATTACCCATAGCTCACCACAATGTGGAAGTAAATTTAACTTTCCCACTCCTTCAAATGACAGTCAAAAGTGTTTCCTAACTTACTTGGTCATTAAGAAATCCTAAAGTGATTTCTCATCCCTTCATATGTTATCTGTATTGTTTGTGTAAATTAGGAATTGAATGGTTAAAAGCAGAGGATTAATATGAGCATAACTCCTGCAAAATATGTGTTTCACTAGGAAGAGAGAAATATCACTTTCTGCCTCGTTTCAATGGCAATACAGCAGTTGGGATTTTGTGCAAAGTTGTTTTAGCACCTTGTATGGGTATATTTTATTTGTTGACCTCAACAAAATTTATGGAAAATTACCTGGAAAAGGCAAGAAGTATGTGATAAAATCACAGCTGAGCCATTCCAACCCATATCAGCACCAAAGAAAATTGACCTGACCTGGTCTTATTTCTATGAAATTTGATGTACTCATAGGGGCTATTAAAAAATGATTCCATGCCAAATTGCAGCTCCCTAGATCAAGTAATTTCTGAGATGCAGCAATTTAAAAGTTGAAAAAAAGGACCCTTTTTTGGTCAAATCATCATTTAAGTACCCAAAACTTTTGTTCTAATCAACTCAAAGAGCTCCAATGAGGTGCTATTTTAAAGGTCTCTTTATGTCCTTTTCAATTATTTGTGAATCATGGAGTTTTATTGAAAACAAAGGTCAAAAGGTCAGACCTTTGACATTGAATTCAAGAAGGAAATTTTTTAATAGAAATTACTTATTACCATAATAAATTACCATCACTCCATTTTTTGGCTATAGACTAGTTGCACTGATTTTGTCACACTCTTCTCAAAAAACTCACAATCTTAGTAAAAGCAAAGATTGTGAGTTTTTTGCTGGCTGCTTCCAGAGATTGAAAGTTACTAGAAGACGAGGCATCTAGAGTAAGTACATGAATTTTGTGACTGATATCCTGAAAAACCCACTATACTATACTGTATTTTCTTTCAAGATAAGAAAATGCCAAGGTAATTGTGAGGCTTGCCATGGATCAAATTGATGCATGCATCAGCCTGATGCATGAAGCTGATACATGCATCACAATTACCCTCCATGGATCAAACACCCTGATAACTTTTTGAAATTATCTCCAGAGTTCTTATCTTGGCACTGCCTCACAGTTAAACACTCAAAAACAGTTCTGTAGTGAAGTAGCTTGAGGGAAAGAGAAAAGGAAATTGGTATCTTCATCCTCTTCCCAATTCCTCTGGCATTTATCCTGTTTCCTCCAAATTGCCTCATCTCACACTCTCAGAACTTTGCTATATATATTTTTTTCATCTTTATGAGTTTTTTTTTCCCACATTTCATCAGTAAAAACTTTCTAGGTAACCATGTAAGATGATTAGTTTGAACCCATTGCCACTATTGAAATTAGATTAATTTGCAATTTTCTCCATTAGTTTTTATCCCACATGCTTGAAATTCTTAACAATTTCATTGTATGCTAGTATGAGCCTGTCTACCAAATTTCATCAGTTCACTCAACTCCTTGGTGTTCCAATTTCATTAGCTGGCCAAGTATTTGGCAAATTTAATGTACCTGCTGTTTTTCTATTTTATCTCTTGATTCCATGGTAGTCCAAAATTGAAATTTGATACATCTATTGGAGAATGTTATGGCAATTTTTTTATATAATTACAATAACACTTTTCGTGGAAGGTCAACGTTCAGACCCTATGACCTTTGTTTTCATTGAAACTCCATTGTTGAAAAAGGCACTAAGAGACCTTGAAAATGACACCTTATTCAGCTCTTTGAGTTAATTAGAACAAAAGTTTTGGGCACTTTAGTGATGATGACCTGACCCAAAATTGGTCAATTTTTTCTACTTTTAAATTGCTGCATCTCGGAAAGTACTTGAACTAGGAAGATGCAATTTGGCACAGAATCATTTTTCAATAGCCCCTTCAACAGGCTCACCAAATTTCATGGAAATTGGAGGGAGTCGGGTTTCTGACTGTTGATATGACGTGGAACTGTAAATTTCAGGAACTTCTGAGAGACATTAAAGAAAATGCAAGTGGCCAGTTGATGAGTGAAATTTGTATGTTCTCTTTTGCAGATGGTATGTCATCTCAGCTGTTACACAGGTCATAATGGTAAGATGGATGAGATGTGCGTGAGAATGAGAGTAGAGAGCTTCAAGTTGCAAGCTATTCCCATATACACTGGTCTGCAGCAGACTGAATATCCATGGATTATTCTCTTGAATATGACTCTGAATGAGATTTGCTTATATGCATGTGGGTCATGAATATGGGTGCAGAAGCTACAAGTTGAATGTGCATATTTATGTTTTCCTGAATATGTGGAACATGTAAAAAGTAAAAATACCAGTTAAAAAAAAAAGGCATTCCTTTAAAAATAATAGTATCTCAACATGCAAGAAAAGTAGAACAACCTTTTCATTGGAATATTTGTGTCTTCTGAAAGTTTTTTTTTTTTTGACTAATAGGAATCCAAATTTTCACAAATGTGTTGCACTCAAGCAGTGACTGAAACCTTTCAACCAAAATCTTCCTTATTTGAAATGTCATGTGCAGAAAAAGCATTGAGCTTGCATGATATCAGTTGGAATATTTGAGATGGTTTGTGTCTGCTTCAATCATACAGTGAGTACTCTCCCCTTCCAGTGTGCACAACAATTATTTCTCTTATCTGTTTTTTTTTTTATTCTTTCCCCATATTGCTTTGCAAGCCACACTGAAGCACTCTGTGGGCTATCTTGTGATGTGAAGAATTTTCATCTCTTCCTTCTCTTACATTTGGCTCTTCCTTCTCTTACATTTGGCATTAACAATAGATAAAAAGCAACGTGAGGATGGTAAAGAATAATGAGTAAGTGCAATGTGCATGAGTTCTGTGGATCCCATGTCTGTCTTGATTTTTTTTTCTCTCCCCCATGGCTTCGCAGTTACAAATGTGTCTGATGAGGAAATGCAGGAGCATTACGATGGATTTTTTGAGGATGTTTTTGTTGAATGTGAAGACAAGGTGAGATGTTTTCCTGTCTTCATTATAGCCTTATACGTTATGGTCAGTACCACCATATTTGGTGGGACAGAACTGGTTCTCCTCCTCTACAGCTTAGCATGAAAGGGACTCAGGAACAAAGAAAACTGAACATTTCAATCCTGAATGCAAATTGAACTAAAATGACTGATCACCATCTGCATTAACTGGACTGAAATTTTGATAGGTTTTAGCAGGCACTGTTCTGCAACTTTTTTTCTTCTGAATCCTACTGGATGCAAGAATGATATCTCTGTTTTTCTGAGACATCTTCAGTGGCCTACCTTCACCCCACTTAGTCCAATATTCTTCTGGTCTTTTCTTCTATATTTCTCAAAGCAGCCTTTGTGCTGCCAATTATTTAATTTGATCAATCAGTCTTTTTTTCTCACTGTCATGAATGCCAGATATTTTGATATCTAACTCTGAAAATAATCAAGAACAATTCCAAATTGATTAAGCTTTCTCATACTCAAGATGATTATAGCCCTTATGGCTGCAGGGGAGGAGGAGATATTGTGTCTCATTCTGTAGTCATTCATATGGATTATCATGGTGAATTCCAGTATGGAGAGATTGAGGAGATGAATGTTTGTGACAACCTTGGTGACCACCTTGTGGGCAATGTGTACATAAAGGTATGAAAAACAAGCAGGAGCACATCAATGAATTGATCCTATTTTTTTAAAGTTTGCATGCTCCCATTTCCATTCTTTTGATTTAGTTTCGTCGAGAGGAAGATGCAGAGAAAGCAGTCAATGACCTGAACAATCGTTGGTTTGGTGGCCGTGCAGTCTATGCTGAACTCAGTCCTGTGACTGATTTTCGTGAGGCTTGTTGTCGACAGTATGAGATGGGGTGTGTGATTGCTTTTTCATTTTATGGCCTGATTCTACTGGGGTACAGGGTGGTTGAATGGAAAGGTCTTGTGGTTGCTGCACTGACTTATTAGCAGAAATTCTTCATAAACAATGTGAACATTTTAGAATGTTTCTTTTTAGCAAGATCCTAAGTTGAGTGTTCAATGCACTGAGTGCATTGTATAGTCTCCAGTTGTCAAGTCTACGTGGGGACCTGATGGTCTTTAATACTATACTATGGTATTCACAGTTGTGTCACATGCTTTTCTTTTGACCACCCTGTACAAGAATCTGAATGCCAATGAGCACTACCCTAGTCTCTTGTGCTGTAGGTAGGTCTGTAAGAATCGATGAGAAGACTCCCACAGGAACACCGATCATCCAGTCATTGAAGAATATCCCTATGGGATGGGTCTCGTGATCACTGGCAAACAAGGAGGGGAGGGGTTCTGCAGACATCATTTCAATCCTCTTTTTATTCTTTTTTCAATCTTGTTTAAAAAATGAGTACATAAGTCATCATTTTGTATATGTGACGTATGTCTATTGTAAAGGTGAGAGATGAATGGTAGTGGACCCCTGTGTAACTGGATACTCTCCTCAGTATCTTACCTGGTTTTACATTATTATACTGTTGGGTATTGTTTTTGACACTTTGCAGAAAGAGTACTGGTTGTCTTTCCAGAGAGTGCACAAGGGGTGGCTTTTGTAATTTCATGCACCTGAAGCCGATTTCTCGAGAGCTGCGTCGAGAGCTGTATGGCCGCAAGAGACGTCGCAGGTGAGTCCCTTGGGGGAATACCAGCAATTACTGTTTCTTGCAATTAAGAATGAAAGAATAGGGCCATGAGCCCTTTCACCCTATGCCTAGTACTTTGGTAGTATAAACTACTAGATTGCAACCCATTATTGAGCTATTGACATGTTGACTGCCATGGGCTTTGGAACCACTGTATCTTCCCTATGGTGAATGTTACACACTGGTGTCCTGTGGCTGTCAATGTGTTAAATAAAAGTGATTTATGTATTCTGCCATTGATGCACGAAGTTCCCCCTTCTCTCTCTCTCTCTCTCTCTCTCTCTCTCTCCCCCCTAATTCTGGATGCCAAGGTACAAAGAACTTTTTTCTGAAGTGCACAATGAACATAGCCTCGTAACATGTTCGTTGTCAAGACCAGATCACTCATGTCTCTTCCTTTGCAACCCACTGGCATGTCGCAGCATATTGAACATGTTGAGGAATCCTCTCAATGCTGAACTTGCATTGCGTTCTTCCTTTGTCTTGCTGAACTTACACTCCAAAAAAGAATAAATGAATCTTTGCCCTGCTAGATTCAGATTTGATCCAGATGCTTCACTCAGAGAGCTCTCATCCATATCTGGGGATGGATGTCAGAGTGTGGCACAGGCTATGGATTGTAGAAAAAAGGGAATGTGACATGTGCCCCCATGTGGTTGTTTAAGAATGTTACGTGGTTGCAATTGGTGAAACTAGGTGACCTCCTCTTCCCCCCCCCTCCCTCATGTACACCTCTTCATGCTCTACATAATTATCTGCATCTGATGTATGAGGCTTCATAATGGCTAATGCATTGCACATACTTGCAAGAAAATTACTGTGTGACTATTAATTTCTTCTGCTTCTCATCCCAGAGCTTGTTTTGGAATGCAGCATGCGAAAGTTTTATTTTCCTTAGAAGTAAAAAATGTAATCATGGATGATTTGTCTTTGGGACCTATGCCATATGGAAAAGTCAAATATGATTTTATGAGAAATAGGCATATATGATACATTAGACACCTATGGTTTGTATATATTGTATATACGAAAATATATGGGAAAATATATCTGATCATGTCTTCATATTGAAACAGTGAGTGAGTATTTGATCATATAAGGCAGGGACTCTTATGAATTTACTGAGAGACATGCATATCATAGATATGGAGCAGCAGATTAGGTATTTAGATGTCTTTGGTATTTCTACCTTTGTATACGGTGGGGCATGTATGTCATGCTTGATAGGAGACATGACCAGACCAGGAGTGAGATGCATATGATGTGTCACTCTCACTACTTTTGTCCAAATATAAAAAATGACCGAGAACTATACTGAGAATTGGCACTTCAATGACTTAGAAAAGACTAAAACCTCTTCCCTTCTTGTTCTAAACTAGACAAGAATAGTCCTGTCAAATCTAGATTTGTCAAGTTTTATAAGTTGTACCATCATTAAGGTATGAAGAAGAAAGTAATCACTGTAGATTTTCTATGCAGGTACTAATTAAGTATTCATTTAGAGATCATCAGCTTATTCATCTTGTACCTTATTCCTCTTCCTTTTCCCTCATAACTCTACCAACTTTTAATTGAGATTGGAGACAATATCAGACACCTTTGCCTCTGGAATTTTTATTGGCACAGTTGCTACCATGGAACATGATCTTCGTGGGTTAACCCTTTCACGTTCGAATTTTTAGAGCAAAAGACAAATATGCCCTTTGAGTTTAACATTTAAGGAGATACTCTGCTGTGGTAGAGTCACATGTTTCACTGCTAGAAAGCAACACTGAAGAGATTATGTGCACTTGAGTTGATTTCATACACCAAAAGTTTTGAGGTATATGTATCATGACTAAAAAGCCATCAACATCACCTACAATTTTGCCATCCTCTATTGTGGACACCATGCATGAAAGGGTTAACCTGTTGAGTAGAGAGTTTTGGAATGCGCACCTTGTCCTCAGGAGTGAGTTTTTCCGGCGACTTGGAGGCTTTTATATAATTGCATAGTTTGATGTTCTAGAGGCAACATCCAGGATAAAACCTTTTGTTTATTTTAAAAAACATGTTCTGAAGTATGCTTAGAAAGGGTCATTGCAACATTTGGGTAGATTTATTGAAATTTGATGAAATTAAAATATCAGGTGTAATTTAACTTTTGAACGATCCATTATAAGAATTTGATAGAGACAGTACTGTTTTATGACAATTGTAATCTTAATTCCGTAATAATTGCTGAGGTAGGCACACAAAATCTTACCATTCACCTTTTTCAACTACCATTTCTAAAAAATTCTGTCCAATGAAAACGCATTGCCCACGTTTTGTGTTTTCAATTGCAAGTATAAGTGATGGCTAATGGTCATGTCCCACCACACCTGCCAGGTATATAGATAATTTTAAAATCCTTATCAAATTTTATCCAATCTGGATTCCTTATTGTTCACATAGCCTTTTTCTGTACGAACAATGTAGACCCAACATTAGGAAATTACTTTTAATCCCTCCCTTGCATTGCTGCTTTGTCATACATTTGCTTTCTTCTTGACATCATGGCTAACTGCTCGCTGATCAGCTATATCCTGTGTAAATAATAAATGCATTTCGTCACCTAAATTGAGGCTAGTGTTACTCATTAAAGTTCCTTGACTTGCAGATAGATAGCAGAAGCTGCCATGCTCGTTTTAAACCGAACCATAAACATACAGGCATACCACAGTGTACGAAAACCTATGCCCGTAAATATACAGGTATACTCTGGTGGGCACATTGGCGCTACCTGTAAACGGGCATAAGGGTTAAGAAGAAAAGCCCGTGTTAGATAAAAATTTAGGCTTCTATTAGGTGACAATAGGTCAGGTAGCTCATATCCTTATGAGAGGGTCAGCCAAAAATATATGTCTCCCTTTAAGCATTTAATATTACTGAAACATAACTATCACAAAAAGTTCATGTAACATTCAAGAGTGTTTATTTTTCCATGTAGTATTCACATTTGATAAATTTTTGCCAATCTTGCACAGGACTTTTTTTTTCAGTGTGTTTGGACTTATTTGCCTTGCACTACTTTTTGCGAACTCCTTGCTTTTCTGCATTGTTGTCAAAATATTTTCCATGGAGACTCAGTTCTCATGTCAGCACAATTCACCAGGAATAGAATGAAGTGAAAAGTATCAATCATCACTACATCTTCAGCCGTGAGAAATTTAACCATAGGTCTCTGTTTCATACATATATCATATGCATTTGCCACATTGAAAGATTGTAGGCTTTAAGGAAGGAGATTTTTCTTTTTGGGGTGACCTCATTTGAAAGCTAAATATTTCAAAAATTGTGTATCTCTGGTTGGTAAGCCACTATGGTTACTGTCATCCTGTTGGAGAGGTAACTAGTAGTTCTGTCTGCTGTATTCCTTGGCCCTCATATTTATCTTGATGAACTCAACCATGCCATGGCAGAGCAATCTGCAGTATTTTGTGCTTGACATGTAAATCTATGGAAACGTACCTGCTTTTGTATTGCCAGATGACTGTCCTATGTAATGTGTAACACAAGTACTCCTAGATATAAACATGCATGCTAAAAAAAATAGTACGTTTCTTTCAACTATGGACTATGGTGAGTATATTTCCTTATGTAGAGGCTGACATCTTCTGAATTTCCTGAGAAGGTTATGTGGGCATCCAAACGAAGGTAATAGATTGTCTAAACTTTCACTTGTATCCCCTGCCTGATGTCTTGATTGAATGATGTTCTTATTATAAATATAACTAAGCCTCTAAACCTATGTATCCCATTGTAATTCTTACAGTTTATTCATCCTGGACAAGATATTATTGCTCTGTGAAGTTCATTTGGCTATTGATTGCCTTTCATGGAATGTTTACATTTTGGTCAGTCACATCTAGTTGTAATTTTCCATCATTGAATTAATATAATTTTATTTTGCGATTTTTCATTGCAGTCGCAGTCGCAGTCGTTCTAGGGATCGGAAGAAGCGGTCTCGTTCCCGGGACAAGCGACGCTCTCGGTCACGTTCCCGGTCTCGCAAGAAGTCCCGATCCCGGGAGAGGTCAGGAAGGTATTGAAAGAACCAACCGGAGGAGTCGTGGTTTTCTCTCTGCATTACTGTATATCGCTCTTATGATTCCCCTCATGAGAAATCCAAAGTGTGTCCTCGCCTATCTTCAGTCGGGATGATCTTTTCAAGGTAAAACGCTTCTCCGTTTCATTTGAAGTTTCCTCTGCCTGGATGTAAAGTCGTTTCTTTCACCTATTCCATTTTTTCTCTTGTGTACAAATAAACGTGATGAAAACAATCAACAGAGCTTTATTTTAAAAATTTGTCATCACAAACAATTGAGAGAACGAACAGTGAAGAAAAACGAGTTTGTATTGGCCTTCAGAAGAGGGGAGTCAACGAAATAAAATATTTCACTTCACTGCTGAAAGACCCTGAACTTGAGTCTAGCCCATGTTGCAGGAAACAATTTAATTGTGACTCCATGAATATAAAAAAGCCTTTTTTGGATGGTTTCTCAGATATCTGGGCTGGATGGAAATAGTTAGGGGGGGTTTGGTGTAAGGCCATATGAGATGGATATCGTTTTCATCAATGGAAGCATACACATTGTCGCAAATTCAACAAAAATACGAATATGCATATTTGACGATTTTTTCAGGAGGGCAAGAAATGCCCATTTTTCAAATGGATTATTGAATTTCGAGAATTATTCAAATTTGTGCGAAAAATTGGGAGTCTGATCTCCCTGGTGCAACAGGAAATATTCTTTTTCTGTCTGGAAGAAAGTTAAATTATTGCCCTCCTGATAATTTTCAAGATTGCTTATTCTCCCTTTGTATGACTTGTGACATCATCTTGTACCTCAGCTCGTAACATTAGGAATGCATACGAAAGAAGCAGGAAGACGTTACAATTGTGTTAATTGTGGGTATTTCCCAGAGTTGTTCCTGCAACATGGACTTCGACATCCATTTTCATAGAGGTGTTTCACTTCGCATAGATACAGATAGATTATGACAAAAAAATACCCTTGACGTTGAATCCACGTGTCTCTGCTCTTTTCTCTAATAATTTTCATGGAACTTGCACTGTGCATAGGCGAATATGTTCCGAGCGGATATATGAAATGTCTTAAAAGTTCGTCGTTGCAAAGCAAGGCATTTAACTAGATATATATAAGAAATTGGAAACTCAACTTGTGCCCCAGTCCATTTAAGTAGTCCTGTCGGGACCGGACGGTCTTTACTGGATCCTACTCTATCTCCAGGTCGAGTTCACGTCTTGTTTCAATATCCGACTACTTTTATGTAATCTCTCATGTCTTCGTTTCTCGAAATGAATTAGCACTAAATTTCATGTCTGTTTTGGAACATATTAGCTTATACATTTCGTAAGTTTAGTGGATGTTGCTCCATTAACAGCAGAGACAGATTCAAAGTGGGGAGGGGGGCTTTCTTTGCCATACTGTGTAGAAATCCAATTTAAGATACATTCCTACAGAAGTTGGTGCATTTGCTCTGGAGACATGCAGGACAGAGAAGGTGCTTAGGGGGCTTATAACTTTCGAATGCACTCAATTCAAGGAAAATTTAAGTGCAATAATGAATTATTTCATCTTTCCCAAAATAGTGCTAATCACTGACTTCCATTTGGAATTGATCAGTTTCTTTTCTTGCTCTATATTTCTTACCCCAGATGTGTCATGAAGGCCTCTCTTGATGACGTATGGCAACAGTTGAAAAATATATCTCATAAACATGACTAGAGCAAATGAACATATCCTTCTCGGAAGGAGTCATTGAACTGAGACTAATCTTAGGAATGAGTTCTGTAGACTACTTCTATATCTCTGGACAAGTGAATTCACCGGACTGATTCAGGTTATCACGGATCAGTTGAAGTCATGAAGGCCACAAGAGCAGAAGGATAGGAATCGGAAATGCAGGACTTCCTCTTCGCTTCTCAAGCCGATCATATGTCAGAAAATGAAGCATGGCAATATTTCTAAGATGGGAAGATAGCGATAATTTTGAGCAATAAAAGAGGCCCCGTTTTCACGTTTCTCCCCGCTCTTCCTTATCCCTCAGGCTCCAAGTCTACATTATTCCGTAAAGATAGGATCTCATCGGAGGAAGTTTTTGGAGTATTTGGTTTTATTGAGTCTGTGACAGAATTTTTCTCTTTCTTTTCCCTTAAACCAGTCACTCCTCCCATTGTGTTGAAGATTATCAAAGGTAAGGAAGAGCAGAGAAGGCGTAAAACAGGAGGAAACTATGGTATTTTAAAGTCTCTTGTGTGGGTGAAGGAAAAGGAGAGGCGATGAGTTTCGAAATTGAACAATCCTGGGTTGTCTTCTTGGGGAATGTCTAAAATCTCGCTGGGAGAAAGAAACAAATTGGGGCATTCACTCTAAAAGGATTCAATGTGGTCTCTCGAGAGAGAAGGTAGGGGGAGAAGAAATTGCGTGATATTGTCACAGAAGAAATTGGTAAGTAGTCCAATATAATTCCAAGTAGCATAGCAGTTCCCATAAGTATCTTCTCCAAGGCGGAATTCTTCCTTTGTGCCGGAACCGGGCAGGCAGAGGAAGGTCATTCGTTCTCATTTCCCTTAGCACCATGCTTTTGTCACTTGGCCACCGTGAGTCGGTCAGTCAGACTTCAGAAGCCTTTTATGACTTTGTAGGCTTCCATCGTGGACATCACAAGATAAAATAACCATAGAAGCACAAATAAAAGGACGGTGGGGACTCTGAACCTCAAGGGTCCGCCAAGTTCTCCACCGACTCTCTTAGTCCTCCTCAGGAGAAGCACAGCTATGGCCACGACCGCTTCACTGCAGAATAATGTCACCGAAAATGCTAGGCTGTAAGGGAAAAGAAAATAAAATGGAAGGGAGCATTACAGAACTCAAGTTTATTCTGCGTCCAGGTCCTCATTCAAACCCTATTATGTATCTGCAACCGATTCGAAGACTTTTCCATATAATTATCCAATGATAATTAGTGAGCAGACTGGGAATATCGAATGAGGAGAACACGGTGCATCACAGTAGAATGGCTAGATCCCTTTGAGGTCTAGTTTCACTCTGGAATTCCCAATTTCCTTAACCGCACTCGCGGTCTGGTTGGCGGTATCGCATGACGAACGATAGTGCATAGGTAAGCGTAAGATGAAAAAAAAATTTGATAAATGAGGTTTTCTTTCGTCAGAGACCAAAGGGGAGACATCTGCGAAGCAGACGAGCCTACAATCAGCCTTTTCGGAGCCAGGGTGTTCACAGGCTTTTTTTCCCAACAAAACCTCTAATTTTTTTAAAAAACCTACTTAACCGCAATTTTGGCCGAATCACAGAACTCTTTTGAAGGAAACGCTCATTAGTGCTGTTGTGAAAAAATCACCAATATGAAATGTCATTAGTATTTGCACATCAACTACCCATGCATCCAGAAGGGTGAGACTAATCATCTGGCTTTCTCTTAGTTGCAGCATGAGAAGGTTCTGTAATACTGGATAGTGCTGCAGTGGATGATGGAAACCAGTGTGCTTGCAGGTGCCGCGTTACTTAGCCCTCCCGTTCAAGTTTACCTTACCTCCAAGTTCGAGTCCTTTGCACTCACGATTAATCTTACAGTATACCAAATCCAGTTGATTCTGACCCCATGTGTCAGAAAAGGAGAATCTCCTTGCATGTGATGAGCAGAGGGTGAGCATTCACCCTAAGAATTCATGCCCAGACAAGGGAAACCTGAAGAAACCAAACAGTAGAAGGCGAAGTCTGCTTTCCTCCTCCAGCTTGGAAGGAATGACTGCTCAACGACCCAACCCAATGGCCCTCGCTTTCTGATCCTATGGGACTCATTTCATCTTGAAAGTTTCCAAATCTATCTCTAATGAAAGTACATGCAGCGTTTTAAATGTACTTGTCCATGCGTGGGAGAAATCGCAGCCAGGAGTTGTTCTCTCTCAGTATCAACCCAGTCCAGTCTTATCGAATGGAAAATAGGAAAAAGGCTAACAGCGAATGTAGGTGTAAAAATAGGAAAAATTTAAACAGCATGGAACTTGAAGCAGAAACCCTTGTATGAAGGATTCAATTGCTCCGTAGGTCAAGTTGCTAGTCGTTGTATTGAAATAGGCGCAAATATCGCTCTTTCATAGGTAGGTGGAAATTGAACTATTGGTAGAGCTGTCCGCACTCAAACTAAAATTTCCTTGCGCCCTGACGCTGATGAGATTTCGCTTGTTGTCCCTCTCCATCTGATGAGACAACTTGGAAGTCCTTTCCACTCCTTTGTCGAACTATCTATAGGTTCTGATAGGTTCTATAAAGATAGGTTCGCCATTGGTCGCAGCGTTGCGGAAAGGGTTAATCTTCTTGGAGGATGCCCTTTTTTGCATGCTAGACCGAAAACTCGCTATGACATTATCACAGACAGGTCATAGAAGACAAGTCATGCTGAATTAAGTCGTTCTTCCCGTGCTGACGTTGGAAAAATAAATTTGTCTTCATTTTCTGGTTTCTTCGTCCTCTATCCCTTCCTTCCCTGCCTGGAAATGATAACTTGAGAGGGAATGCTAACACTCTGCTCATCACATCCAAGGAAGTTCCTTTCCATCGAATGTGATCAGATTCGAGTTGGTATGATATATTTCATTTGATGAAATGGTATTATTATATATATTTCATTCATCAACGCCTTGTTACTGGCGATGAAATGTGGTTCCACTTCCACGAACCGGAGACGAAACAACAATCCAAGTAATGGAAGCATGTTGACAGTCCTCCACCCAAAAAGGCGAAAACATCACCATCAGCATGTCAGCGAATGGCGACAGTCTTCTGGGACACAGAGGGCATTCTTGAATGCCTTCGGTAGGGGCTAACCATCAACGGTGAATATTATACGAGCATCCTGTCAAAGCTTAAAGGTGCCATCAGGTCGAAACGCGGAAGGAAATTGAGCGCATGTGATCTGCTGCAGCATGACAAAGCAAAACCGCATTTAACCCGGCAAACATGGAATGCCATAGCTGATCCGGGTTTCGAGGTGTTACAACACCTCCGTACTCACCAGATCTGGCACCAAGCGATTACTGGCACTTCGGTGCCATGAAGAAGCCCCTCAAAGGACAAAGGATTTCAAGTCTGCAGGCACTCGACTCGGTGGTGCAACATTGGGTTTGGTCTACTCCAAAAACATTGTTCAAAGAGGGACTAAATAAACTTTCAGAACGTTGGCGCAAGTGTGTGTCAATTGGTGATCACTTAATTGAAAAAGTACAGTAACCCTTGCTTG